CCAACGTCCTAGCCCATTAAATTATGAACTCTCAGTTAAATCTTCTGTGAACTCCTGGGGAAACGTAAATACGAATTATGCTTATTTTTTTTTATTTCAAAGGAATAAGATCAAGATTATCAACAGCCCTTGGACTTTTATATTGAACGTCAAAATACATTCTAGAGTAACATCTAGCCTTCACGGAATAATGTAGGCGGGGTGGGGTTTTTTTTTGGGGGGGGGGGGGCGATGGGGGGTTTAAATGAAGAAGAAAGTCTTGCCCCGAAATAAACACATGGAGGGCCCTGCATTTAATGAATTATTTTGGGACTTGGAATATCCCTACCCGACTCGTTATTTTTTCATGTGCATATTCACAAAAGGGGCCCGTGTGAAATTTCAGTTTACCTCATTTTCTGTTTGAAGTTTTTATGGTCTTTGAAAAAAATGCCCAAATAAAATCTTTAAAAAACCTTCCCAGCAGAATGATTGATGGCCGCATTGATCAAATTGATACAACACATCTGTTGCTCGTTATATACAAAGGATCAGTTTGGCATCAGCTAAAGGCGCCGCCGAACTTTGAGGACGGTGTCCCATGAACAGTCTCAGCCAATTAAATGAGCCGGTCGCGGCAAATAAATACGCCATTGGTTGCTTTCTCCACGGACTATTTATGCTTTCATGAATATGACGCGCCTTCCGCACTCAAACGGATATTGATGGCCAATGGCTGGAATTCCTTGCTAGGCTGAGCCGCAGGTGCAGCATGCCCACTGTCATGTCACGCGCCAACCTGGTTGCTTAGAGATACTGTTGCTAGGGAGGCTCCCCTGTGATGTCCCAGACTGCCGGTTGCGTAGCCAGAAAATCTTGCATGGGAGAGAGCGGGTGTGACTATTTTCTCGAATGCTGACGCTTTGGGGACATTTGTGAAGGCAACAACCCCCAAAAAAGTCCTGCTTCCGATTTATATGCCATTCAAAAATAAGGTTGATCGGTAGGGAATTTAATTTTTTTTTCCATTTTTATTATGGAGGGCCAGTGTTTCCCCTGCCCATTCTTTTGTGAGGTGGCCCGCCTCGGCCTTTTTTGGCCAATGTTGCCGCCTCACGGGTACGAAAAAGGAATAAAAAAATATTATAATCAAACCTGTGCATTTTATGTGTGTGTCTTTGTATTTCACCTTCGAATTCTCCGGACTAATGTTAGTGTTCTTTGAGATCGTCATTCGTACCGTAAACCATGGAGAAATTTCTCCATGCGTAAACGAAGTCGATGTACCTGCAATTCTCTAGCTAGTATGGAGCCTTTTCAACGTCCGTGTACGTGTGTATATTACTGGTCGAGTCTGGGTGCAAGTCGACTCGAGATTTTCGACTGAGTGACGAAGTGACAATGATCCCATTTATGGATACACTGCGCAATCCTAAAATGAACGCATATCCTCCGTGCTTTACAAGGCAGATAGTCCCAGAATGCTGCGCACGTTCCGGCTGATTCGCAGTGAGCTCCTCATGTGCAATTGGGCAAGTGATGCGACGATCGTTGGTTGCACAGCACGCGTGCGTACATTATGTATGACCTGGTACCCTGCTCAGCCTGCCAAGCGATCGGTGAATGCAATTTGTTCGTTTTATTTCTCCATGGTTTTCCGAAGGCTACAAAACGGTACCAAGTAACGGTTTTCCAATCAAAAATCCTCAAAATACATGCATAAGAAGTCCACGAAAGGGGGTTTATTCGGAAGCTTGGACTTTCAGGAGAACACGAAAGTTGTTTTTTTTGTCAAAAAAAATAATGCCGGCCCGTTCCGGCAGCCGATGTTATCGGCATGCCGCAACGCGTGATTACGCGTACACGTGCATGTTCCGTGTTGCCGCGTTGTGTGTACCGTGAATGGAGCTGTATTTTACCCGTGTGTTACGGCGGGCTGTGTGGTCGCATTGCGGTGTGGGCCCAGAGTCAGATATGTCTGTCCGTACAATCGTGCCGCGCGGTGTTAGTGTTACGGGGGGAAAAAATCATAACTTTTCTGTAACGAGTGATAAAAAGCCTGATTAAACATTTTGATGGATTCGAAAATTTAGAGGTGTTAAAATAATAATAAAATTTTGACACTAAAAATTTCAGCATGTTTTCAATTTCATTGAATTTTTTTTATTTTAACTATTATTTCTCCAGAATGCAAGCTCAAATGAAACTAATTTAAACGTTAGTGATTTTGTCGTGTGATTCTCTTTCCAATTATACCAAATTTTCCAGGGTTGTAAAAAAATCCAAACAGTGCTCAACTCCCTGGTGGTAGGCCTACATTTTCACAAATAAATAGGGGCCTATGTAGGATTTTTTGAAAAAAACTTCAATAATTTATATCAATATTTTATTCACATATACTGCCCAAAAAAGTAAGAAGAAAGTGACCTTAAATGCCTCACATTGCACCACAGAGCGTCTAGAACGCAACATTTTTCGGGGCCCTTAAGCGGGCCCCGAACCCCACGCCGCAAAGGCTTCGCGCTTCGCGCTCGCGGGGTCTGTTTTCGACCAAATTTATTTTACCACCTCACACCTTCCACCAACCCAGAGGAAACACTGATGGAGGCGTCTGCGCGTAATCAAGGGTAAAAGGTAGGAATTAATGGTTCTAGGGTGTTTTTTCCTTCATTATTTTCCCATAAAAAAATAGGGTAGGTAGGGGCCGTCAAAATAGGGTAAGTCGAGAAACCGGAAGCAGAACTCTGTTTTGGGCCTAAGATGTGGCTTCTATTTCGTCAAATAAAAAGACCACAAAATAATGGGGCCGTATCATAAGTCCGACGCCTCATAGGTCCGACGCCTCATAAGTCCGAAATTTCGGACTTTTGAGGCGTCGGACTTATGAGGCCTAAAATGTATTTATTCCGCTTCATAGGTCCGACGCCTCATAAGTCCGACGCCTCATAAGTCCGACAAATTAAACGCCTCGTTATTCCGTTGTCGGACTTATGAGGCGTCGGACTTATGAGCGGACCCAAAAATAATAGGCCATGCCCATTTATTCACCCGACCTCAGAGAGAGAGACGCCGAATACATTTAAGGAGTTAATTTAATACAATTTGTCTGATTCTCTTTTTTTTTTTAAATGAAACGATTTCACCACATCTTAGCCCATTAAATTCTGAACTGTCAGTTCAATCTCCTGTGAATTCCTGGGGAAAATTTTATACGAATTATGCTTAGTTTTTATTATTTTTAAAGGAATAAAATCAAGATTATCAACACTGAACAGCCCTTGAGCTTTTATTAATACTGAACGTGAAAAATATATTCAAGAGTAACATCTACACAAAATAATGTAGGCAATGTTATGGTTTTTTTAAACGAAGAATAATATCAAAAAAGACATGGAGGTCTCTCTGCATTTAATGACTCATTTTGGGACTTGGAATATCCCTATCCGACTCGTTATTTTGCCATGTGCATATTCACAAAACCGGCCTGGGTGAAATTTCAGTTTCCCTCATTTTTTTTTCCAAAGTTTTCATGGCCTTTGAAAAAATGCCCAGATAAAATATAACAAAAAAACCCTTCCCCGCAGAATGATTGATAGCCGCATTGTTCAAATTGATACAACACATATTCGTTGTTGTTACAAAGATCTATTTGGCATCATTTAAAAGGCGCCGCCGAACTTTGAGGACGGTGTCTGATGAACAGTCTCAGCCAATTAAATGAGCCGGTCCCGGCAAATAAATACGCCATTGGTTGCTTTCTTCACGGACCATTTATGCTTTCATGAATATGACACGCCTTCCACACTCAAATGGATATTGATGGCCAATGGCTGGAATTCCTTGCTAGGCTGAGCCGCAGGTGCAGCAAAACTGTCACATTCCAACCTGGTTGCCTAGAGATACTGTTGCTAGGGAGGCTCCCCTGTGATGTCCCAGACTGCCGGTTGCGTAGCCAGAAAATCTTGCATGTGAGAGAGGGTGTGACTATTTTCTCGAATGCTGACGCTTTGGGGACATTTGTGAAGGCAACAAACAAAAAAGTTCTGCTTCCGATTATTTTTTCATGGCGTTCAAAAATATGGTAGGTATGGTAGGTAGGGAATGTATTTTAAATTTTTTTTGACATTTTTTTTGGTAGGATCATTATGGAGACGTATGCGGCACAAGGTAGACATTGATGGTATCGGGTGTTTTGTTCTCATTTTCCCATATAAAAATAGGGCAGGTAGGGAACCGGAAGCAGAACTTTCTTTTGGCCTAAGATGCGGCTTCTATTTCGTTTAATAATTTTTTTAAAGATAATCTGAGCTTGAACGTTACGTACAAAATACAAATAAACGATCTTCCTCAGGCCTGGAAAATGTCTTTCTTGAAGTGACATTTTTGAAGTGACAGTGACACTATATTTGACAACACTAGCAGAAGATTGAGTTCTTCTTTATTTGTATTTCGCCTCTGGAAATGTTTTTTTCCTAACATTTTCGTATTCCCCCCCCCCCCCAAAATACCCAGGCGGCCTCTCAAAGAAAGAAGCCTGATTACCCCCCCCCCCCCCCGGCATGATACTATATAGGTCGTTTTTTAGACCGCTCTTTGGATACGTACGTACTATACAGTCTATACTGTAGAACGTTTTCGTGAAATGTTCTGAAAACCGGTATCCACTCATCATACTCATACTGTAGTGTAGCGGCCTGTTGGTACATGTATGAGTGCAGAATTACTCCAGGTAACAATGTTATTATCTCGCAGTGTTTGCTAAGGATTAAGCGCAGATAAGAAGCGTTCGCCGACCTCATAAAAACGAACTACCGCCACGAGATCTGCCTGTGGTTCAATGGTAAACACAACAACGTGTACTGCAGCAATAAAACGATATCGACTTGCCGCTTGACTGCAGGATCGTTTGTGGTTTTTTAATCCCCGCTAATCTGCCTTCCGTAGTGGGCAGAGCTGAAACACTTTGACGAAGAACGTATTTACCGTATACCAGGAATTGTTTACTCTGATCGGTACTGTACCTTTAAGACATCAACCTCTTGTGATGTGCTGCATGCGTGGTATGACAGCACCTCCAGGGCCACTTTCTGACGTGCCATTGCCTTTTCCACCTCATTGTACATCAATGTGTTGTTGATTCCTAGTCCACAGAATATCGTGAAGGCCTGCACCAAAAGAAACGGATTGAAAAACGAAAATGTATGAATTGCATTTTGAACAATTAAGCCAGAATTGGCATACATGTACGTATTAAGTCAATTTTGTACCTGCCGCTAAAACAAAAAATATTACGTATACGTATACGTAGGAAATAATTTAAATATATCTTCATTTGCAAAAGACAAATTGGAGTTGAAATCATTGAGACAGACCTACTAGCGATTCAAACTCTCATCTTCGATTAAATCATAACAGACCCCTCTATCCCGCCTTTAGCCAATGGGGAGGCAAAGAAACGCTGCCCAACTATCCCATTACAAAAAACTGGCCTGGAGCGTGGATCCATACCAGGCATCGATCTGTCTGAAAATAGCCACTGCTTCGACAACAGGTTGCTTGAAGATGCGAATAAAAAAATGGGGTCAGTGGTACTTGTCATCATGAGTTTGGAAGTGGCGTCGCGGCTCACATTCCAGACCCTAACCGGAGTCTGTTTTCAGTGTCCACTTTGCATCCAGGTCAAGTTAATGGCGTAAAAACATCAACATCTTGTTTTTCCCTCCATTTTTCTTTCTCTTTTAAAATTCAGGTTGAGGATTCATTCCTCATGTTCCACTACTGGTGACCTCACTACAGTAAGCTCATATCTCATCTGGGCCCTATTTCAATTTCTCCATATTATTTGACTTAGTTTGGAAAATATTCTACTCTAAAAAATATGGATCTTCTATCAAATGTGGCTCCAAATATTTCCAAAATATGTAAGGCCCATCCATTTGAAAGTGAATAAGTTGCATTATAACTAAGTGAATTTATGAAAACTTATAGAACATACATACGGTAGTACATGTACACAGCTCTTTGTAAACTACATGTTTTTTCGCTTTATTGTATTCTTAAATTGTGTTTAACTGTAAAACAGCTTTCAGTACTCTAAAAGGTAACATTATGATGTTTATTGCGTTTTTGAAACAAACTCTTCATATATTCCTATACATGTACATGTACGTATTCCACTGACTTTTAATCTCTTTTCACTGATAGAGAAAGATAGTCATCACCTAGCCTCAAGTCAAACCATCCTTCCCCTTGACTGTCAAAAACCAGTCGGGCAACAAACTTACAGTACAGAACGTTGAAATAAAAAAAAGTTGACTTCAGATTTTTTGATCTCTGAAAACTACTAGCTGACATTTGTAGCGATGGAAAGTCAGTCTATCGACTTGAATTATGCAGTGAAGCGTAGGAGGTCAAATTGATGCTAGGAGAATTTAAGTACAGGTATGTACCAGTACATGTAGGCTTGTACAAACAATGTAGATCCTTAACAAACAATACAAAAATTCAAGAGGATTTTTATGCCTTTCACGTTCTGTTTGCTCTATGATGCGGCCAAAGGTCCCTGTCCAATCACGTCTCCTCCTTGAGGGGCTATATCATTATGTTGTTATTTATTGCGTTTGACACCCTCGGCTAAACAGCTCGATACCTCCGAGCCTTTGATAGATGCCAGCAGGTGCTAAGCTTGGCTACCCAGGGGCAACAAATCTCCTCCAGCTCCGGTGCAGGTGTTGATCGGCTGCGGTTCATGTAAATATCACCCCACCAACAACTGGATAAATCAAGGTTGATGTATGTTTGATGGGAGAAAAAAGGCTCTGCATAATTCAGCAGGATTTAGGGATGTGGAGAAGGCAAAAACATGGTGCACACGTAATCTTTGCAGAAGGATTTGAAAGCATTTACACATGTACAAGTATCTTAAATAAATAGTGTTTACGAGGGATGTGTTTAAGACCACTCAATAAATACATCTGCATATATACATTTGTACATGTACAATTGATATGTGAAAAATGAAGATGCAAAAAGTATGAAGGATGAATCGACTGAACTGAAATTTTGACAGGTTAATTGTACTGTTGTTCCTTGAATCGGAAAAAAAACCCAGCTTTTGCATCTGGTCTTCATTGCCTTTAACACTAACCTCTTAAACTGCACAATATGTAAATGTACAATGTACATTGTACATGTATGTTCGATGTGCATCAGACAAAGTTTTAAAATGTCACTTTAATCTTTTAATAACCATGGATGATGAACGTACAAAGATTCCTATCAGCACCGTGTTAAAAAAAAGAAAAAAGAAAAAAAAGGTACATGTACCGTATGCAGGAGTGCGGCTTAAAATTAATCTCTTAAATCATACTGTATATTAGATCCTAGTCAATGAATTCTATAAACATTCCAATTTTTTGCTTGAACCCAATTGTCGGGGGAAAAGGTCCAACATGCCCGGCAGGCAATGAGCACGGAACCCTTGCTTATCAAGTCTGTCTGAATACATACGAGTCAGATTTATCAAAAAGCCATTAACCAACCGAAACCAATAATTAGCGAAACGTATCCTAACTTATGAATGCAGGGGCACGTCGCAGCTGCGACGGTTTCACAAGGGAAAATGGGGGGACTCTAAGAAAAATGGACGTGTGCAACATGCCAAATCTTAAGATAGGATGGCTGTGAGTGTGCCAAGATGGCTTGTTTTGCTGGAAGGAAAAACTGGGAATACTTATATGGGGAGTCACGGCTAAGGTACAAGTGCCATTTGAACCTTGCTTATCAAAATAATGAGAGAGTGTGCATATTTTGTGGGGCGGGTGGAGGGCAGGGGGGTGGGGGAGAAGGGATGAGGGGCTTATGTGGATGGGGGAGGAGGAGGTTTTTGCAGTACACAATGTACATTCATGAATAGTATTCATTGGGAAGTTAATACCGGTATTATAAAAATATTAAGCAGGTTTCGTTGGTCAATATTTTCAAATTTTGGTGCTCAGATACTTTTCTTTGATTACAAGTAGTGCAGGATTGAAATGGCTGGTACATGTACATGTACAAACTGCAAGCTACTGAAAAGTTTCTACGGTCGTACATCTCCAGCATGACATGCACCCAAAGTGCCAGTCCATCAATGAATGGTTTATTAAGCTGCAGACTATATTTCTGCCCGAGTGGTTATCCCTTTTTTACTACCGTGCCACGCGATTCAAGCGTTGAAGACTGATTAATCAATATCACTTGAAGATGGGGCAAATTGGAGTGTCGCGTCCTAAATGGCAAACTGGCATCACGGCGACCCATGCAGACGCTTTTTTGTCGCATGGGGGAGGCTTTCTGACATTTCCAGGGGAATGTGAATCGAGGCAGTCACGCAGCTACAATTCAATCAGGGTAACATAGGTTAGGAGGCAAGGAATGGAGGGGGGGGGGGAATGGGAGTAGTCATTAGAAAGAAGGACTTTCACAGACTGGACGGATGGGAAAGACAGGAATAACAAGGTAGATGTTTGAAATGGGTAAGTGGGAGGAGGGACCAAAAGAAGTCCACGAAGAGGAAGAATGTCAAGAACAATCAAAATGGGAACAAAAGTGTATGGGAAAAAGAGCAATACTTTTTTTCACTACAGGGACACAATCACTGCAACACAACAAGCTAAAGGGAAAACGCTAACAAATGAGTAGACAAATATTGAACAAATCACGGAGATAAAAGAAGCAGACACAAATTCCTTCAAAAAAGTTAAAAAGCAAATATGCAAAAGACACATGTTTGCAAATTTTACTACAAAGAATTAAAAGTAAGCTACATGTATGTAATCCAGGATTAAAAAAGAACAATAAAATTGTTTTAAAAAAAAGCAGCTCAACTTTAAATTGAACATCCAGGCAGAAAATGTAACAAAAATAACAAACGTCTAGACAAGAACTATGACTAGAATAAACTTAATTAATTGATGATGAAGTGACAGGCTGAACGCTCAATAGCGCTATCTGACTGCGGTGTTCTGAGAAGAATGAGTCATTTAATTAATTAAAGAGACAGCATTCGATTTTGAAAATCCAGCACACTCCTTTGTCGCTTTAAAGTGTTATTCTATAAGCCGCCTGAAGAATTCTGTGTTGAAAGTCAGGTCCGCATCACAATTGCTCTTGAGAAATTCAATCCTTTGCCAGACATGCCAGCGGGGAAAAACAAGTAATGCCTTTTCATCATGTTCATCTGTTCCTGCTACTAATTTTGTTTTTAGAAAAAACACAGAATGACTTGGCTAAGTTCAATCCAATGACGAGAGGAGAGGTACATGTTGTATGTATTTAAGAGGGATCCGGCTGTTATTGTTAAGCGACGGGGAAATGAGTCTCTTAGCTTTGCAGTCATGACTGTGCCAGCCCATCTTTGAAGTGCGCAAATAATGTACAATGTGCACTGTTTTCATGGTTTGGGAGAAAGTCACCACAGAAGCAAAGTTTGCAAACATGAGCAAATGCCTAAGTGCTGTGGAGAGCTGTGGTCCAATGGTTACGGTGTTACTCATGTGCCGTACAATAGTACGCGGGTCCGAACCCTGACGGGGAACATGATGCTTGCGTTCTTGGGCAAGACACTTTACTACATTTGCCTCTCTCCACCCAGGAGTATAAATGGGTACCTGTGAAGGTAGAGACCAGAATGCGCTGATTTCAAGCTGCTGCAAAAACTTGTCTCAAGGCCTGACAATCAGGGGTTATCATTGTGAAGCGCTTTGAGACATTTTCATTTTGTGGTAAAACACCAAGTTTTTATTAAGTCAAGAAAAGCAAAACAAGACAAGCCTCGTAAAGCTGGTTTAAGTGCACACAAAACTATAGTCCATTGATTCTCAATGGACATTCACAGAAGCATTTTCATGCATGCATATGGTTTACACAATCGGCACACGTATCCTTGTGATGGAGGTATAGTGCTATCACATATGATTATGCCCCGTAACACTGATGAATGGGCTAAATCTGGCCCATATAGTGTAAACATTTTGCACATGACAATTAAAACCTCCAATGAATAGCCATTTTGAAACAATAGAATAGAATTGTGTGCACTCTGGTACCAGCTTTGCTAGGCTTGCCTTGTCTTGTATTCAATTCATTTCTGCACTGCACGTGAGCATACATGCATATTTCATGAATGACGCACGCATGTGGGTGTACGGTACATGTGTACATGTACATGTACACACAAGTGCGTATTTGCCTGCAATTGGGAACCTATATTGTCCCTCTTTTGTTTGTACCCTAACTTTTTAGGAAGACCTCACATATGTTTTGTACACATCGCCAAATTGGGGACCTTCGGGAATTGGGGACCCTATTGTCCTCTATTGTTCAATGTCTCCTATTGAATGCAGAAACAAACTCATTTACACAAATGTGCATGTATGGTTACCAGTATGTACCGGTAAGGTGATCAGGTGATAAACGTAACAGTCAAAGAAATTTGGTAACACCTGTGCGAGCACAACATTTAGGAGTAACAGTTGGTGCACCTACACATACTGGTAGCTGTGCATACATGTAGCAACAACTCTTAAAGGTTGTCTGACATTGAATACACACAAAAATACCCTCTAATGATCTTTTGAAAGTCTCAGGATGAATGCCAGTTGAGGATCCTTATTCTTGTCTGATTTCTGCGATTAAGTTGCCCGGGATATAGGTTTTGAGCGGAGAGGGTCACATTACTACAGAAACCAATCCGTGAAATGCCAAGCGTGGTCCCTGGATGGTGAGTGGGAAGCTAATCCATGATTCATCATACTGAAAGGTAATGCCGCAGATCAGGTTCCAGACCTCCAATCCCATATTGCTTTTTTTTCTTCCCTCTTTGATCCCACCGCAAACAACGATACAGCCACTGATGAATTCAGGTCATAGCCGTGCAGACATTCTACTCCTACGCATAAAATATAGAATACTTTCTTTTTTTTTGCAAGTGAACATGTTATCTTGTTAAATGGAGCTTTAATAAGGTAATGAGATGGGATGTACGTGTACCGGTACATCAGAACAAAACGGGTGTATAACAAAGGAATTGCCACATTGGAATTACCAGAAACACATGCAAAACTCCAAACAGCATTCTTCCGACGTGTCTTACAATGAAATTGCTGAATTTCTCCATATCTCAAACACCTTCAGTCAACCAATCAGTACAAACATTGTATTGCTGCTCGGTCAAACATTTGACCAATTCGAATGGGCTTCAACTGTCTGCTCAACTTTTTTCTTCTCCGTAACTCGGGAACAATACATTGAGGCTGCTCTCAGAAAACGTTAATGTAACTTAAAACTCTCACTTTGTGGCAACAGATGTACATACTTTATGTACAAATGAATTTTGTTCATTTAGAACTTCAGTTGTCAGATATCATTTTGCGATAAGAGACCAATCATGCATGCCCCCTTTTTTTTAAATTATTATTAACCTTAACCCACCCTCATCCCACCCTATTTTTTTCTGGCTCACCCAAATAAAAATCTACAGCAAAGTAAACAGATTTTGCCCACCCTTCAATGTATATTTTTTTTTCAATGTAATGGACACAATTTTTTTCTTAGCCTAGAACCACGTTTTGAAAAGATTTGCCTAGTGTTAACGTGTGGAATTTGTTCACATTGCCCAAAGTAAATGTACATGAACACCTAAAAAAAAAAATGTGTACAATGCCTAATGGAAAGCGTCAGATACAGTGATACACTCTTTTAGTATACATTATCAACTGACATGTGGAAAAAACCTAAAAGCCATCGCTTTCGATTTACACCACTAGTTGGGTGAGCGAGGCGAGAGCAAATAGAGGAAACCTTTAGTAACCACGGCAACCGGTGTTGTGGTACTCCAGAGGACAAATACAAACTGGCAACGTCGTGGGTTCGGTCGGGTCGTTTTGAGATGACAGTTGACTCTGGGTGTCGGCCTCAAGCCTAATGCCTGTAACTGTTACTGGCTTGATGCACTGCATACATCTGTAGTTCCACACAGTGAATGTGAACATGATCGGCATTTTCCCTTTATTCAAGACTCTGAGGCAAATTTCCATTTGTGAGTCACCAACAAACAGGCTTAATGATGGGATTTTTCAGGTATGCACTTATAGAGAAGAAAAAGAAAGCAATTGTTAACATATTAAATGAGCAAAAACAGTGGGTAGAATGGTGAACAATACAGTGATAGTGTTGTACAGACTGTTATGCAATATGGAAAAAATATTAGGAGTTGGTCAGATTTGTTGGTACATGTACCGGTATTGTACACAATTTTGATTTGAAATGAATAACAAGGAGAGTATTTACCGGTAAACCCAGGCTTCGAAATGCAGTTTTATTTCAAATGCAGTTTTGTTTCTGTAAACTTCCGTACATGTACCGGTATATGTACATATGTACATGTATATTATGGAGGATGCATCTTTGGGTGAATCAAGTCATTTAATTCAAGACAGATTGTCATTTCAAGGCATCACAAATCTCACCTCACTACAAACTACAATACACCCAAGGTGCCACAGCCGGTGCTGCCTCATCCAACCATTGACATTAATGTTCCATCCATCGGAATTCTCCCTCCGCGGCACACAATAAATTCCATCATCCAACTGACCGGAATAAGTCAATACAAACCACATTCAAGTTCCCTTCTCGTATTTGCTGCCTCCACTTGGGAAGACACAAAGGAGGCAAAACGCTGACGTCTTCTGACATTTGAAGGGGAAAAAAATAATAATACCGGGCTTTCCGGAGCCTCCTTGACAGAAAAAAGGTGAGATGTTGAGCCAGCTGATTCGAGCATTGGAGCCATCTGCCACTGTATTAAAGTCTTAATTTTTTCTTGGCGAAGGGAAAAACCCAATATACACGTATGTAAGATTTACATTATACCCGATGCAAATTCCATCTTATAAAAATACAATCTTGGCGTATAGACCACTAGTGTCAGACAGTTCTACCGTAGTTGAGAAATGTCCATCTGACAGGTCCTATTCTACATACACAAGGTGCATCTAGGATACTTTTGCAGGAATCTTTACAAGAAATCCCAGAAGCACCTGGAATATGAGCATTTTTGTACAGAAAAAAATCCCCCCCCCAAAAATAATAAGGACATGTAACATGGTGCAGGTTTAAAGGGATTTTGAGAGATACTAAACTTTCAAATAAACCACAAATTGGCTGTTTATCCTCCCCGTTTGCTATTTTCAGGGTTTGCAGCATTGCTAATGTTGCTAGCATCGTGACTTTAGGCATATACTACATGGCATACGGGTTCATGGCTTCTGACCAGTGCCCCTTGAACAAAGACCGTGACAAAACTGGGCAACGACCATCATAGGGCTGGATAGCTCAGTTGCTGGAGCACCGGTACGGTGTTCCAGAGGTCGCAGGTACAAACAGGTTGACTGGAATATTTAAGCTAATGCAGACAAAGCAAGAGAATCAAGTGCACATGTCCACCTGCCCATATTTAGCAGTCACAGAAAATGCAAATATATCGAGGCTGGATGGTGATGACAAACAGTCCCCCAACCCTTCAGCCTCATTACTGATTTGGCTTCACTCCAATCCTCGAAATCGATGCCTGTACTCTCAGCAACAATTGTGTATATTGACGTTTTGTTAAACTCGGCACGCCGCTGAGCCCATATGTACATGTACGCGTACATATAATAGTAAAAGTCTATCCCCACTACTTACTTGTACATGTACATACCGGCACAGTTTTTGATCTTACCTCAAACAGCTGTTCATCATTTTCGTCAAAAGGGAAGCCATCTGTTCGATTCAGAATCTGAGCCACACCTGTGGAGGCACAAAATGTAAACACTGATCACAATCGCCGGACGTTGTTTTAATACCTTAATTTATGTATCTGTGATGAGTTCAGCTCTTGGAAAGGACAAACAACACGTCACGTGATGTCCACCTGGAAGAACAATGTCTGTAGTATGCTCACAGGAATTTGCCTCTGTTAACACAGGGATTTCTCCTCAGTCAATTCAGTCCAACATTTGCGCAAAAATTGAAATGAATTGATTTCTATGACAATGAACTTTGTACATACACTACATGTACCGGTACACGTACGTGTAGTGCATCTGTGTACTTGACATTGACTTCATCCTAAGAATTTTTGCCATTAAATCGATTGCAAATTCATAGTGAACACATTTCTGAGCAGTATCTACAGTACATGTACGTAAGTCCTATGGGTATACAGTTGAAGAGCACTTGAACACAGCTGCCACTGTTCACAGGTGCACTTTTCTCAGACAAACAGGTCTTTTCCACATTCATTTAAAAAAATTATTATGACTTTTGATGCAATCTGTACAGCTCCAAGAACAAAGTACATGTATGCCCATGGGTGGCGATATGGTGTATGTACCAGGTAAAGTGTTATTACTGAATGATTAAACATTTGACAGAAATTTCTGTCATTGACCAGTTTGCTTCATTTGTAAAGGGCTTAAAATTACAAGTTTGTACCTTTTGCATTTTTTCTGTCATGCTTTACATGTAGGCCTACATGTATGTAAAACTTCAACATACGGTATCAAAGGCCCTACGTATATAACATGTACATCTATACCTATTAAAATACGTACAAAGAGAACACTGAGATCTCACACACAGTATTGCTTTAACATTTGGGTCATTCCATAAATTTGGGGTGTACTTTTTTCCTGTCCTAGTTATGATTTTAAAATTCTGATGCAAGCTTTAGTTAATGCAGTCCTCTTCCAAGAGCAATTATGAATAACAAACTATCTAGCCAAAAAAAGTTTGACGTCAATCTTCAAACACTTTTGATACTTGAATAGCAAATTACAGGAACAGGAAAAAGGTCGCACTGTAGACCCTAAACTTATAGAATAACCCATTTCCATGAAGATCATGAACAAATTACTTGAATGGGACGGATGACAAACTTTGTCTCTCCGGTATCCCATCCCTTAAACCCCCCGAGGTAGTCATTTAGTCTCAGTCTCGCACCCGATTTCCGAGCGGTCTCAAGTGTCAGGTTAACTGATTCTTACACAAAGAGAGAGCTAGACCTGTACTCTCGATCTGAAAGCCATGTGTTCTTGCACGGCACAAAGACTGCAATCTGGACTATGGTACGAAGTGGGAAAAAAAAATGGTGAGACCGCATCCGAGAGAACTCGATGCGACAGAATTCATTATTCATGCCAGAAATGCATCTCGTGTTAACTGGATGGTAGTCATATCCATCGGTCGCCAACCGACCGTCTCTGTTTCAATCAATGGCCCGAGAGCAACCTGATAGAGCCGCGGCTCCTTGGCCATGTGTGCTTGTAGTCTGGGCGCAGGCCGAACCGATCTTTAAAGGCGCACAAAATGCCATTCAGTTCGTGAACCCGTACTGGCCGGTGCATAGCGTGTCATTGCCCCACGCACATCAAGGACTTGAAGTGGATTGAATTTACGCAAGTCCCGATAGCTGATCTGATGTGCGTAATCAATCTGATCTGATGCAATGACAGACCATGAGCATGATAACAAGTTCTGCATATGAAGCCTGCTCGATCATTTCTTAATTTTACATTTTATAATGTTCCAGTATATAGTTACAATGTACCGATACATGTTCTGTCAGACTTAACATAATGTAATACAGATTTCTGAAAGTTCATAATGTGCTCAATGTTCAACCACTAATAAAATTTACCACATCTTTATTTTTTTCCATACTTGTGTATACCATAAAGTGACGGGTTCATTATTATTTCCAGGCCAGTGACACGTACACTGTACTGTTGTAATCAGATTTTGACTACACGTACAGGTGTATGGGACTAAATTTAAAAAGCAACATAAGTACAGTAAAGCTAAATTTGATTTTCCTCATGCAATACCACAAGATGATTGATTGATAAGATGGATGTTGGAACATACATGTACATGCCTGCTCATTCATGCATGTTGTGTACTTGGCACAAACCCTTTCGCTTTGTTCACTATTCTAAAATGTGAAAGTCTGAATTGTTACATGACTAGTATAAATGTATTTTTCTGGGGTGAGATTGGGAGAAATTTGAAAAATCCACAAAATAATTATTGTATACTGAGAAGTGCATTGTGGGTAAACTATTTATAGATTCGCTCTCTTGTGCATGTGCCTTCGGCCACTTTCTCTCTCGGGTATCCCATCCCCTAAAAGCACCCCTTAAAACGTTTTGTAAAATACCAATTTCTTTTGTTTAAACACCTTCACTGTACAGCCTCAGGAGAAATACAATGTATTAACAACAAATTCCTGAAGTCAAGAAAAATCAGGACTAATTTCATCCCTGATTTTGAGATTAACAATCTCATCAAAAGAAATGCATGGAGCAGTTCCCACTGAATTTTCTAACCACTTTTTTTAACCAAGTTTTCTTCCACATTTCAAAGGCAGGAAGAGATCATTGAATGAATGGATTTTTTTGGGGGGGGGAGGGTACCGGTAGGTGGGCAGGACATGGAATAAAAGATTTCAAATCATTACAGATTCATAACAGAGATTTTCCAAGATGCCTTTCTAACCCATATTTGCATCTGTTCTATTACGGTTTGGGGCAGGGTGGTGTGGGGCAGGGTGGTGTGGGGCGGGGTGGTTTGGGGCAGGGTGGTTTGGGGCGGGGTGGTTTGGGGCGGGGTGGTTTTGGGCAGGGTGGTTTGGGGCAGGGTTGTTTGAGGCAGGGTGGTTTGGGGCGGGGTGGTTTTGGGGCAGTACTTAAAGGAAGTAACATGCAGTGCATTTTGTGATGGTACAGGGAATAACAGGCAAGGTGGTTTTGGGTGGTAAAGGGAGTAACAGGCAAGGTGGTTTGGAGCAGTACAGGGAGTAGCAGGCAGGGTGGTTTGGGGCAGTACAGGAAGTAACAGGCAGGGTGGTTTTTGGTGGTAAAGGGAGTAACAGGCAAGGTGGTTTGAGGCGTACAGGTACTAACAGGCAGAGTGGTTTGGGGCAGTACAGGGACTAACAGGCAGGGTGGTTTGGGGCAGTACAGGAAGTAACAGGCAGGGTAGTTCACGATGATACAGGGAATAACAGGGTGGTTTTGGGCGGTAAGGGGAGTAACTGGCAGGGCTTTCAGTGAGTTACATACAGGCTAGGCAGTTAAGGGAGGAACGGGGACTTATAGGTTAACCTACCAATGATTTGGTACTTGTTGTCTCTGACGGGCATGCAAAGTATGGACCGTGTGTGGAATCCTGTGGCCTTGTCCAGCTCCTTGTCAAACCGAGGGTCGTTCTGAGCATCGTAGATGTTCAGCGTGTCACCCGTGGAGGCCACGTGCTCGATGATGCCGTTGGAGAGCTTGACGTCACCCGTGCAGCACACGGGGTTGTTGCTGTGCCCGTTGTGCAGGGTGGAGGGTAGATCAAAGACTTTGGAGAAGGTTATGGTCTGGGGAAAGACACAGAGAGAGAGCAGAAATCATTGAAAGACATTGACACTTGCAATCATCAAAATGAAAACTGAAAGTTGATCTACACGTAAAGTGATTTCTAGTTTTCTTTTCCATTTGGTAATTTGCTTAACATACATTGTAAATGTAGTTTTTTATGTGACTGTTTTCCAGCAGTCAGCCACGTGCAATTATTTTGCATGTTGCAAAAAAAGAAACTCATAACATACAATTAACTTTTCTTTGCAAAAAAAGTGAAAACTATCTTGGCTCTTCACACGTGTAACCTCCCATCTCTATGAAAAATATGTGGTTGCCATACCTTCTGTGAAACCTAAATTCACAGGCACGACGTACATGTACGTGTAGTGCAATGTGCAACAATACTGGTATAACTTAACACAGTAAACTGATTAGAACAATGTGTAATTAAAAATATCCTGTTACCGGTATTCACTAGGCCCAAAAGATTAATCAGTTGATCGATAAATCCATCCTTGTAATGATCTACCAGTAGTTACATTTGATACATGAGTTAATTTAAACTGTATCACTTGGAAAGATATAGTCAAAATAATAATATATTTGGTTGAAGTACCGGTATGGTTGGCCATATGGAAATGATATATTTTGTCAGGGTCGGTTAAAATGAATTAAGATTAACCCGGAGCGCAAGTTGAGTGACACCTGCATGGACTTCTGGCCCCGCGTGTAATAACGGCAAACGTGTCACACGTGCTGAGGAAGAAAGTGAAGACACGACTTGTTATTTGCTGTCAGATTTTATCAAAATGTCTGTGAGGCATTCAGCGCAGGGGGAAAAAAAAAGATCACACACGCAGCCTGGAAGATTTCAGCCAGCATATCATACATGTGTGCTCACCCTCACCTTGCATACAGTGTAGAAATTAGAATCTGAATTAGGTGGAATACAAAAGTAAGAAAAAGGACAGCAAACAAGAGCATTTGTAGACCCTGGATGGGGCTGATGCTACATGTAGCCTGTCAGTGTCAATAATGTGTTCTGAGTACATGTACAAAATGTACTTTCTTGTAAGTTGTACATAGTTTACAAATGTACTTGAACCTGTTCTCTAAGAAGTTTCACTCTTTTTTTTAATTGACCCACATTGTATCGCCGTTTGCGAGTTGGCCACGCCCCTTAGACAACCCTACAGAATCTTATACCTTAACTTTTGTTTGTCTCAGATTTTGCACGTTCTGCGTCCATTTGTATATAATGTAATTGGACAATATTTCAGAAGCTGCGTTGACGCGATTCTATCGCGATAGGTTAATAAGCCACAAAGGGGAACTGACTAGGTGTATTATAATAATTTGTAAGGTGAACAAAGAAATTAACTGGAGCCGGGTTTGAAGCTGCGGTCTCCGGATTACCGTTCTGGTGCTCTACCAACTGAGCTACCCAGCCCTAAAAGAGTTCCCCACTTGTATCTGTCTTATCAAGAGGTGCTAGTCAGAAGCCATACGGCATGTACCGGTAGCCACAGACCACGCCTCAAAGTCACAATGCTGACAATTATTAGCAATGCTGCAAACCTGGGGGAAATAGCAAACGGGGATCATTCGGAGAGGATACGGCTTTTTATTACTAATTTTTAAATGAACCATCACAAATACTGACTACATGTATAGGTTTCATTCTACCGGTACACTGCACTTATTGGCACCACGTTTTTGTGCAGCAGTGCACAGGGCAAAATCAGACGCAAACAAAAAGATTCACACTTCATTTAGAGCTTCCAAATGTGACTGAACATATCCATTTTAGCTTGAACAAATTATACACCTAACTGGAAGTTGAAGTCAGTCTGAAATGTGCAGTGTCAGTGTTATTGCACTCTCTGGCAGTGGACGGTGTTGAAATATTCTGCCACTAGAAATTCAATCTGACTCTTCAACACAATACAGCCACCACAATGTTTCACATACCGGTATCATATTTACGGGTAGTCTAGGGGTTAGACGTTGTTATGGTTTGATACGCAATAACCCACCGTCGCGAGAGGGCATTATCACGAACCCGTCAGGAACAACGTCTAGGGAAATTTGTATCGGTTGTGTAATGCGCACTCACCAGTATTTGCCCTAATATAAGCAGCGCGCATTTAAAACATTTCATTGTACCGGTAGTTCCGAACCAAACTCTTAAATTTCTTCCAGTAGTATAAAAGATGCAGCAAGACTTGTGTGCAACTTCACTGGTCAACTCTTTTGTGGTTGTGTAGTGTGCGTGGGACTAAAAATGGACCGTAATTGCCTGCAGAAGTACCGTAGCGCATGCATGCGCACTAGTTCCCCCATTTTTTCGGGGGGAGATTTTACAAATTTTCCCAGACGTTGTTACTGACAGGTTCGTGGGTGATATTGGTTGGTCATGATAATTATAATGCCCTCTCGCAGCGGCGGGTTATCGCGTCTCAAACCATAGCAACGTCTGACCCCTAGACTAATTTACAGGGGAAACTGCAAATTATACAAGACAAACATGTACGTACTACCGTATGTATGCACATTATACAGTAACTTTATTTACACTAAATTGTTCCCATTCACTCTTTCAGATTTGCAAATAGACTTATTATAAAAGGTAATTTCACCTGTGCTTTCTCACTTCTCTAACTTGACACAAAAAAGTGTCCAATCGAATCAATTCCCCATCATTCACTTGCTTCAGATAAACATACAAACTATGCTGAATTCACTATCCTCGACAAGTGCACAAGAAAAAAAAAATGTTTCCAAGTACAGATTGCTTCAATCCAGCACAGCGAAGCAGAGTGCATGATCAATCATCTGACAATACTGTCTGGATTTTCAAAAAGCAAACACTTTTACAGATCACTGGCCACGTTAAGAATCAGTGCCATGGGTGATATGAAAGCCAGGACATGATGGATTACATATTGCCCGATAGGGCCCACGCGTCCTTGGCAATGTTAATTTCAAGGACCAGTGGCTCTGACAAGGATGCAAACTAGGCCCACAACCATTAAGGTTATTTGATCTGATTTATGCAATTTCTTTTAAAAAAAATGTTGCGAATTGCTAGATTTTTTTTTACATTACATGTACTGTACATCAAAAACTCTTTTTTTTGTTCCAGGGTAATACACTGTAGGCCTACATGTATGTCAAATTTTGCCTAGCAACAAGTTAATACTGCCTCTCATTTTGCGCTATGAATTAAGGGAAATTGCTCCCTGTGGTTGTCATTTTTCGGGTTTTAACATGTATTTGAAAATTACTGAAAGTGTATATCGGGCAACTGGGAAGTAACAAAACAAGGAGGACATGCCAAGCTGCAATTAACCTATCGCGCTAGAATCGCGTTAACGCTGCTTGTGAAATATTGTCCAATATATAGGCCTACAAAATAGATGCGGAACGTGCAAAATCTGAGACAAACAAAACTTAACGTACCGTACAAAATTCGATAGTGTTGTTGTCTAAGGGGCGTGGCTAACTCACCAGCAGCGATAGGTCAATTACAAAATGTATATACCAGTACTGGTACAATGTATACATTGTATGTACTTTGTTTGAGTCACTACCATCTCAAACATTGCTACACATATAATCTAAAACAGTATAACAATTTGTTTTTAACTCCTTGGCTTTAAAAACTTTGCAAAAAAACACAGGTGTTTTTTGTTTTAAGCAGAGCTGCGGGAGTGAATTCACATCAGGTACATTGAGGCGTACAGATATGGCTCTGTGGCATTTATCTCACAACAGGCAGGGTAGACTTTACGAATGGATGGAAATTATTGATTTGATGCAACGCAAGGCCATTCAGGCAGGTCGATGCACTGTATTCTGTGAGTGAGTAGCCTGATCAGCCCGTGGGGAGGTTGGGGGGGGGGGGGAGGGAGCGGAGATTCTGGAAGGTGAAATGTAGGAGCAGCAAAAGAGAAACTCCAAGGGAGAAATATCAGAGGTTGTGGGGAGAGTGGATTGAGGAAATGAATAAGAAGGGACAAATAGGTGTGTCTCGAAATGTTGGAGAAGTAGGGATGGAAATGCAATAGGCCTATAGCTTTAGAAAGGAGTAAGGAAAATAGATATAGGAAAGGATGTAAGGACGTTGCCATGATTGGGGAAATGAGAGGCTGTATGGATTAAGGATGGGTTAGAAAAAGTTAATTTTTTGAGAGGTAGAAGGCACAAACGAATTTGTCAGGAGGTAAGATGCTCATGTGGGATGATGACGAAATAGAAGCATGGAGGTTTTTTTCTTGAGGAAGAAGACGCTGAAAGATGAAGTTTGAGGAGAAGGCTTGGGCGACTTCACGCCAAGACTTGACTATAGCATCAACTCAGTAACTGTATCAGAATTGTGATAGTTTTTAAGGGATTGATTACATGTACCGGTAAGTAACAATCTTGAGGTCACTCATGAATGGACTCCTTGCGTGTCCAAGAAAGGGACTGCTTTAGACCACTTTTGAGAGCCCAAGCGAAAGGGAAACACTGCATGTGCAAAATGGTTTGTGGGAGTATGGCGTGAAGTACGCATGACTTATTTGTAATGTGCACAAACCAATGGCCCCTTCGCGCAAGTACCGGTATGTATCAGATGCTTTGCTGTCAGCAATGCTTTCGAAAATCCCTCCAACACTCCCTTTGTAACCGTGAAGGGGTACATACATGTACTTGTGTGTGGTGTCCATGTAAGTCAAACAGATGCGGCTCACAGAGTAAGAGATGTATTATGGAGGCTTTAATTTTCCCTCTTCATTTACTCACATGTACTTTGATGGCTGAATCTGTAATTGATTCTTTACTCCTGGACAGAGTTAGAATCAGTTCCAAAAATAATCGCCATGAAGCAAACCGCGCGGAGTGCAAATGCTGCAGGTGGGGAAGATGGAACAAGACTGAAGCATTTCAAAGAATGAGGATTATTTGGAATAAGGATTTGATCACAGGGAGTTACTGAGAAAGAAAGGAGACACAGTGGGAGGCAGACGGGATT